GCAAAATAGCCGGTATTCTAACTTCTGGTTCCTTTTTTTTTTTTTTTTAATAAAAATGGAAAGAAGAGATGTGAGAAGGGAAAGTGAGGAAGAAAAAATAAAGAGGTTCTAGGAAAGAATACATACAGAGTTAAAAACCTGGAAGTCTTTTGTCCCATAACCCTCTCAATGTCTGTGTAATTCCTTTTTGGGGGTTAATCTGGGGAAATGCATACTTTACTTTCAAGGCTACTGTTCCAGAATTTTCAGATTTTAGAATGTTTTTATTATTATTTTATTTAACTTTATTTTTAATTTCACAAGAGAGGGACAGAGTGAGAAAGAGAGGAACAGAGTGAGAGAGAAAGAGAGAGGGAAAGTGAGAAAAACAAGTCACCAGATCTGGGACTCAAACCATGGTTTGCTATATGGGAGTCCAGTGCCCTTAACCACCATGCCACCTGCCAGCCCCAGATTTTAGAATTTTAGAGACCAGCAGATGACATAATGGTTACATTGCTAGATTCCCATGTAGACAATGGTGGTTCAAGTCGTGGATCCTGTGGCTTAAAACTCATACCAAGCACATATTGCATGCATGTCCAAAGTCCCAAGAGAAGAATGGAGGAGAAGAGATTGCAGTGTGGCCATCCTCCCGGGGGGTGATTTCTCGCTTTCTGACCCTCGGTCTCTGTCTCTCTCTGGCAAGTGCTCATGCCCTATAGCATAAATCCCTCTATAAAAAAGATTTTAGAATTTAGAATCCAAACAGAGGAGGAAAAACAAAAAAGCAGGCTTAAGAGGTAGGCTTTTAAAAGAAGGAAAAAATTATTCTCTATAGGTATTCATGAGTACTTCATTGGGGTGCTGTAAAATCTCCCACCTAAATTCTTTTGGATGAGGAGTAGTCCTTAGGAACATGGAGATAGAGAGGGATTATGCTTCACTTAAATCTGTTGTAGTGAATGCACATAGTCAAAATAAATGCAGCAAACCAAAGTGTTCAATAATCGGCAGTTGAAGAAATTGGGGGGGGGCTGGCAGATGGCATGGTGGCTAAGGTGCTGGACTCCCACATGGCCTACTGTGGTTCAAGTCCCAGACCTGGTGACTTGCTTTCTCACTTCCCCTTTCTCTCTGTCTCTTTCTGGTCAGATTAAATAAATAAATAAATAAATAACAATAACCAATATAATTAAATAAATAATTCATGAAAATTTTATTTTCATTTGTTTTAGATGATACAGAACTTTCAGGAAGAAGCCTGTTTTATTCTGGATACAATGAAAGGTAATAAAATAGTAAGATAAATACCTTTCTTTCTTTTCTTTTTTTAGAAGTTTTCACCATAGGGCACATGCACTTGCTGGGAAGAAAGAGAGTCAGAGACAGTGAAAAGGAAAGTAAGAAGTCACCCCCCCACCCCCAGAGGAGATGGACACATCACGATCCCTCCTCCTCCATTCTCCTCTGGGATTTTGGGCACACACACACACACATGTGCCCAGTGTTATTCTCAGGCCACTGGGTCTGAGACTCAAACTATGGCTGGATTTCAGCAACGTAACCATTCTGCCATCTGCTGACTTCCAAACACCTTTCTATAATACTAGTGTAAAAAAATTTTTCTGTAATGTTCACCTGTTTAAATATCCATTTTGTAAGACAAATAATAATGTGATTGAATGTATGGAAGAAAATGAAATGAAAAAATAATAATAATAAAAAAAGGAAAAAAAATACTTTTTTATACTTCTTTTAGGAGAGATAGGGAAAATATCAACCCTAACTGAGGTAAAAAAAAAAAAAAGTGGCATTTTTAGAGATAGTTCTTTTGTGTGAATTGGTTTCTTCCCATTATCAGCCTAAACAAAGCATGCTTGATAACTGTCCACCATTCTCTCCCATCTTCCATTGAAGAATGAAGAAATTGAGACACGTTGTTTTTATAATCCATATTTATTACAAGTATTCTGTGCTGACTAATACATATGCTGCTTTTTGTCCTGCTGGGATTTTTTTTCTCAGAAGCCTTTTTTTTTTTCTTTCACAAGCCTTATTATATTCTTTTCCCTACTGTGTCTTAGAAATGACTAAAGATTATTTTCTCTCTCTTTCTCTCCCTCTTTTTCCTTTTTACAGCAGAAACCAATGATAGCTATCATGTCATACTGAAGTAGGAGGGGACATTCCATGTCCTGTGGCTGCTGCTGCTGCTTTCTCCTGAAAACTGCCCTCTTGAGGAGGGGTGTGAATGAAGCTTTGAAGGTCTGCAGGAACCCAACCATCTGCCTGTGTGTGGGGACGTCCAGGCCATGGAGGTGGAATCCCAGCCCTCTGTGTTAACCTAAGCTCTTGCAGCACACACAGACTACTGCCTAAAATGCAGTATTTCTGCAGCTATTTCATGGTTAAAATTTCTGGACTCTGTTGTTATTGACTATCAGTAGAAACTCTGCATTATTTAGGGTATATGTAAGGTATAATGATGATGGGACTTGTGTGATGTTTAATGAAAAGATGTTAAATTTTGTGATATGGAGCCATGTAATTTTTTTCTAATATAAAAATGAATATCTATATTCGTAAGATTAGGTCCTTAATCTCTTTTGCCTCCAGTATACTGGGTCTCTGCTTTTTCCCATGATTGGTCCCTGAAAACTTCAAAGGAGGAGAAAATACATACAGAGAATTTTCCTTTTGGTTCCCCAGTAATAGTACAACGAATAGTAATTTTAGCTAACATTTATCGAGTGAGGCAGTGTGATAAATTCTCTGAATAGATTATCTTGTTTAATCCTCTTAAGAATCCTATATGAAGTAGGTACTATAGTGATCCCTAGCCAAAGATGAGGAAGTGGAGACACAGTGGCTAAGTAGCTTGCTAAGTAATAGGCAGCTAGCTGGCAGTGATGCTGAAACCCAGACCCAGGCCATCTGGCTCTTATTAATCATCATCTAATGCCAGCAGTGCACCCTTCATAGCCTGCACTCACCATCGTCCCTTACTGTGGGTCTTCTGGTGGACAGGATATAACACCGAGTGTGAACTGGGGAATCAACCTTTGGCAGTGACAAACCACACCTAAATTATGATGAATGAATCAAGATTTATTAAAAATGAAAATATAAATTATTTTAAAGTATTACCAGTTACCAGAATCACAGAATCTAAGGTGGTGAAATGTTGGTAATATTTATAACTCCCAAAATTCACTGCTCTTGAATGATATGCTCAAACTATTTATTAATGAGTTAGGCTAATCCCTCTTTTCTGTTTCCTGCTCTCTGCATCTTCTTTGGTATAGGAAGTTCTTTTATTCATGTAGTATTTTATATAAGCTTTATAAGAAATTCCTAACCCAGTCATTCTCTTCCCATATGTTTGTGTTCTTCCTTAAGAATAATCGTGTGTGTGTGTGTGTGTGTGTGTGTGTGTGTGTGTAAGTGAGTAGCAACATGGGTGTTACTTTTTCTCATGTAAAGTTTTATCCAGGTTTCCCTTTATAGATTATGTTGATGCGAACAAAGATAATATGTAAAGATTCTGTATTGGATTTGGATTTGTGTGTGTGTTTTTAAAGCATTTGATAAAGTTAAAATGTTTTTATACAGACCTTTTGTTCATTAAAATCGACCTGCAACATGGTATAATTTCTGTTGGATTGAAACAAATTGAAAACCTTAAAACCAGAAAATTAAGTCAATGACTTATTTAAAATCGACCCAGGCAATTGACATATTAAGTTAAAATGAATTTTTAGTGATTACCAGATGTCCCCATTTTGAAGAGGCATCTCTAGTCTTATTGTTTCTAGGACTGGTTCTTAGCAATCTCCTTAGGAAGCTACTATTGGTTTTGATTTTTGGTTCTTTTTTTTCTATTCTGTTTGGCTATTAGAGTGGGAAGGTGGGATTCGGTGACTTTTAAAGTCTCTTCTAACTCTGTGAATCTGTAACTTTGCTCACTGCAAATGGTGCATAGAGTTCTATCACTACCTTACACTTATTACTTTTTAGTTGAAGTCACAGTAGTCTTTTTTTTTAGAATAGTCTTCATATTTATAGAAATGAATTTATACAACTTTGTAATTAAATTCTTAACTTACCAGAAAATTTCTTAGGTTTTCTTTAGTTTCAGAAAAAAATCTATTGCATCAGTTCTATATAATCAGTAATTATATAGAATATTATAATTATTCACTTTGCTTTAAAAAATTGTGTATGTTCATTATTGACTGTTTGAGATAAATTAAAATTTTAAACCAGTCTTTTCCTTATGAAAATAGTACACAAAACGATACTTTCAAACAATAAAGAAAGTTGTAAGTTTTTCTCTTTACCTCATAGTCCCACTCTAAGAGGTAATCATTGCAAAAAATCCTTCCCCATCACACACATATATACAAATACTCAGATGGGTTTATGTTATACTGAATGATCTGCAATTTGATTTTCTCATTTATCAAATCTTGTTTTAAAGAATTATTTTATTATTTATATTATTTTTAATATTTTCCAATTTTATCAGAGTGAGACAGAAAGAGAGGGAAAGTAAGAAAGCAAACCACCAGGTCCAGGACTTGAACTGTAGTCAACCATGTGGAAGTCCAGCACCTTTAACCACCATGCCACCTGCCAACCCCCATATTTGACATATCTTGAAGACATTCCTATTGGGTCGGGAGAATACATCTATTGAGTTGCACAGAAAAATACGTCATGACTTTCCTGACAACCTATATTAGAATTTATAGGTCTACATTATTCGTTTTTATAAATGACCATTTCTTATGGATCCCATTTAGATTAAATACATTTGAACAGACATCTTCACAAGTTCTGTGTCTTTAAGATATATCCTCAGAGGGCCGGCAGGTGGCATGATGGTTAAGGCACTGGATTCCCATGTGGCACAGTTCAAGTCTCAGATATCTGGTGACTTGCTTTCACACTCTCTCTCTCTCTCTCTGGTGAGTATGTGTGCCCTGTAGCAAATTAAAATAATAATAATTTAATTAATTCTTTTTTATTTTTGAAAGGTTTTTGCTATAGAGTGTGTGCGTTTGCCAGAAAGACAGAGACAAAGAGATAGAAAGCGAGAAATCACCCCCCCCCCAGGGGAGATGGCCACACCACAATCCCTTCTCCTCCATTCTCCTCTCGGGATCTCGGGCACGCATGCACATGCACCCAGCATGAGTTTTAAGCCATCGGGTCCAGGACTCGAACCGTGGTTGACTACATGGAAGTCCAGCGACATAGCCATTACGCTAACTGCTGGTCCCATAATTAAGTAATTCTTTGAATAAAAGGATATATCCTCAGAAGTAAAATTCACTGGATTTTATTTGTTTAAAAACATGTGAGAGTTAATATTTAAATTAAAGCAGCTGATTTGATATTTCCATCAGAGTGAGGGTATAGGAGAAGTAGAATGGTTAAATTCTGGGCCCTTCTGAGAAGTGGAGTAGCATCCCATTTGACTTGCCATTGTCTGTACTGTTCCATTGAAGGAAAATAGGTTCCATGTAGAGACCTGATAGTTAAAAAGGAGTTTTTGGGAAATAAAAGGGGAAGGGATTGTTACAGGAAACTAAGGATTGACTATTAGTCATTATACAAAATGTGGCTATTAAATAATAAGATTGATTGTCCATTATTATGACTCAATAAGAATCTTTGCCCACATAATGATTTATTTAAGAAGCCACTGATAAGAAATGGTCTTATTGGCTGGAGAGTGACTATAATGCAACAAAAAGAAGACAACCAGGACCAGCAGTTGGCATAATGACTATATTGCTGGACTCCCACATAGTCAACTGTGGTTCGAATCCCGGACCCTGTGTCTTAAACTCACACCCTGCGTGTGTGCGTGTGTGCCCAAGATCCCAAGAGGAGACTGAAGAAGGGATTGCAGCGTGACCATCCCCCCCGGAGGGTGATTTTTTGCTGTCTGTCTGTCTCTGTCTCTTTGGTGAGCGCACACACCCTATAGCAAAAACTGCTCCAAAAAAAAGAGAAGACAACCAAAAGAAGACAACCAGAGATCTGAGAAAGTGAGATCCACGTGAGGAAGCAGAGGCTCTGATCTCTGGAAGTCAGGCACTGTCATGCACTGGGTATGTTGTCAGGGACAGGCGTGATCTCACCACTGAGCTGGAGGTACATGGGAAAGCTTGGCAAGTGTAGAAGGTGTGGGATAATGAAGCCAGCCACTGGAGGAATGCTCTCAGAACCCTGTGTATCCCCAAGTATTCTGAGAATCTTTTGTATCTGTGACTATAGAGATTGGAACTATCTTGCAAATCACGAGGGACTGAATGAAGCTTCAACACAAATCTGGGGTGTAACTATTTGAAATCAGGACTGAATGTTTCTTTTTTTGTTGTAGCTTTTTTCTCTGGCCAGATCTAACAATTCCAGGTAGTTTTGTACTGGAGATCTGAAGCTGAAGAACCATTTATCATTTTATTGAATCTGTAGTCTCCCTCCGTGGCCATGAGTAATTGCTCTGGAGGAATTTAGTCTGTTACGAGAAATTCAGTCTCAACTAGCTGGATCATTTGTGTTCTCTTTCAAGGAGAGTAATTTCGCATCATTCTTTTGTGTCTTCTGTAAATGCTCTATGTTCTTAGTTGTGGATTAAGACTTTTTTCTGCTAGAATATTTACTTTCAGTTTGTAATTAGATTTTTATTTCATTATACCAACTCCAAGATTTAAATGAGGAAGATGGTACTATCACTGCGAAATGGAATGAGCTGGGAAAGATGCCCTATGTGACTTGGGAATAATGCCACCAGCACCTATTTGTTTCTGTGTTTTTCTCCTTTTGTTTTAATTTCTTTTTTTTTTTTTTTTTTCTTTTTTTTTTTAGAGCAAGCAGGTGGCGTGCCAGTTGGGGCACTAGACTCCCCCATGGCCATCCAAGGTTAAGTCCCAGTGTCCAGCTTTCCACTTTCTCTTTTCATTTCTCTCTCTCTCTGGTGAGTGCTGTGCCCTATAGTAAATTAAATACATAAATAATAATAATGAAATGAATAAATAAACTTATTTTTAAATGTATTTCTTCTATTAGAAAGAGAGAGAAAATCACCCTCAGGTTTTTCTTGTCTCAATCCACCCCAGCCTCAGCATGTCGGGACTACAGGCACACACACATGGCTAGCATGCGTAGGGAGTCCTTGGGTTGCAACCTCGGGATACAAGCCCAGGACCTTTTCATATGGCTGCAGCATCACTGAGTCTAGCGTTACTGCTGTGCTGTCACAGCTGGTCATTCTTGCTTTTTTGAATGACCTTGTATTTTACCTCTGATCATGAACTTTCATCTATTTCCACGTATTTCTACATCTTTCCTTTTCACGTACAGATTTCCTCTGGGTTGTTCCTCTGGAACATTAGTCCTAAACTAAAATCTTCAGAGAAATTGCAAGTCTATAGAAATTACAAGTAAATCTAACTTTTTTTTATTTTATTTTTTTAGGTTCTTGCCATAGGATGCCTGTGCCTGCTGGAGAGGAGAGAGACAGAGGGAAAGTGACAAGTCACCCTCTAAGGGGATGGCCATGCTGCAGTCTCCCCTCCTCCACTCTCCATACCCAGGATTCTGGGCATGTGTGCATACTTACTGGTGTATATTTTAAGTTGCCAAATCTGGGACTCAAACTGCCTGGGAGTCCAGCACCTTTACCACCACCCTACCTGTTGGTCCCTAATATTTATATTTCAAACTCAAGAGATTGAAAAGTTATATATGACTTAAACATTTCAATTGCATTCATGTAAATTATAAGGGCTGTTGCTATTGCTACTTTAATACTATCACATACTGTCTTTCCGATTTTGCACTGGATGTAACCTTTCATGACATTAGTTATAACTGGTTTACCTATTATGTGAATCAATGTTGTTGTGTCTTAGATTTGCTTAAGATGACATACACATTCTTCATTTTAATCACTGCAGATTCCTGTTTTCTTCCTGAGTCTAATGTCTGATTTTCTATTTAAGGATTTAGTTAGTATTATTCCCTAGACATCTTACAATCAGACTTTCATTTACCTCCTTAAATTTATTAAGCTGCTCTTTCTCTATTTTTTTTTCTGTTTTAAAAAAAATATTTATGTATTTAATTACATTTGTTATTATTATTTTTTCAATTTGACCAGAGATAGAGAAAGGGAAAGTGCAAAAGCAGGCTACCAGGTCCAGGACTCGAACTACAGTCAGCCATATGGGAATCCAGCATCTTTGACCAGCATGCCACTGTCAGCCCCTTAAGCTGCCCTTTTAAATTCACCTCTGCAATATATCGCTCAAACTTTGATTTTATTTTGTTTTTTTTTTTAAATGGGGTGTGTGAATGTGTGTGTGTATTATGCACATATATAAATACCTTAGTGTATGTCCTTTTAGAAAACTTCTTTGATGCTACTTCTATAGCTTCTTCACTATTTCTGCTTTCAAACTGCTATGGCACTTTTTCCTAAAGTGCACATACTGATCTCTTTTTTTGAGTATAGAGTTAGTCACAAAGTCATGCCTGTCCCTGTAGATCTGATATATAATTAATGGTAAATAAATGAAGTAACATACAGCTTCAGGGCTAACTCTGCAGGTTTCTTTTCAGAAAAACAAGGTACCTTATTTTTTATCTTAATTCTTATTCAACAAATACCTTATTTTTATCTTAATTATTTTTCTATAAGAAATCTTAAAAAATATTATTTAATTTCATTTGTTTTTATTTTTTAATTTGACCAGAGAATGACAGAGAGAAAGGGAAAGTGAGAAAGCAAGCCATCAGGTCTAGGACTTGAACCACAGTCAGCCATGTGGGAATCCAGAGCCCTTAACTCCACCTGCCAGCCCCTTAATTATTTTTCTATAAGAAATTTAGCATGTAATATCCTTTATCCTATTTATTTTTCCCTCTCTATCAGGTATTCCTATTTATCTTTTGGTGGTAAGGGGTAGTTGATATAGTATATTTTGACGTCATGTAGGTCTGTGTTCAAATCCCAGGTCTTACTCTTCCTGGGTGTGCCTGTGGACAAAATAATCTCTCAGGCCTCAACTGATCAACTTTTTTTATTATTATTATTAAAGATTTTTGCTATAGGGTGTGTGCATTC